ATGTCGAATGCGACGACTGAAAAGTGGGGAGCAGACGTTCTTCGACTGTTTAGCGCAAAACTCGATCGCCTCCGTAAAACAAAATACCATACTGCTGCTCCTGCTTATATCCGTCAAAAAGAACGGAATAGTATATAGCTTACGACTCATCTGATTCCGCACAGAGAACAGCGAACGTATATTAAAAAATGTCTACGGCATTAAACGTGCACTTACAGTGTGCTGGCTGTAACATTAATTTAAAAAAAATTAATGGTAGAAAAAAATTAGTTCTTAATAAAGAGGAAGCGAATATTTTTTCTAGCTGTTTAGGAAAAACGATACCCGTCAATGATATTTTGTGCTCAAAGTGTCGGCTTTTCATTTACAGGAAAAATAAATCCGAAAATGTTTCTGAATTGGAAATTGATAGAGACCTTTCTTCCTCTGATTTAATTTCTGATCCGACATTCGAAGTTCAATTAAAATCAATCAAGGAAGCTATGCCGGAAGTTGAATATATTGAAATTCCTATTCAGAGAACAGTTTCTACGCATAAATATTGTTGCATTTGTTCTTCCACAAAAAATCTTACGGTAATTCCGGAAGAAGCCCGAATGCAATCGTACGTCAAGAAAAAAATCTATATACCAGTTGGTAATCGATGTTGTCGAAGTCACATAATAAAAAATCGAATTTTTGAAGATCTTAATCTTCTGAAGGTATACTCTAACACAGCAAGTCTCACTGGGTTAGAGTTATCCAAAATGATGGAAACTCTTTCTATCAAATGTGATTCGACATTACTCGACAAAATCGGTGAATTTAATCTCTCCGAAAAACAGCTCGATATCTTTACAGGACTAACTTGGGACAATCTCATTCAAATAAAAGATATGATGATTTCATTGAGAAATAGTAAGTCCCGTTCCGTAATTCAAGCTCTGGTTGTATTTCTTTTTAAATTACGTATACGGGAAACTCCAATAAAATGATAGCTTCCATCTTGCAATTAGAGAATGAGCAATCAGTTTCAGATTATTCTGCGAGCATAATCAAGTCTTTCGAAAATGATATTTTACCATTCCATTTTGGCATACATGCTCTTAATAGAGACAATCTCATTGAAAATCATATTACAGAAATAACAAAAAAATTGTTTGATGTTCGTGACAATTTATTTGTTATTTGTGATGATACGTACGCCCGACATCAAAAAAGTACTAACAATGAGTACCAGAAGAAATCTTTCTCAGGGCAAAAAAAAGTTCCCCTCTGCAAACCCTTCACTATTTGTGCAACTGACGGATACGTAATTGACATGCTCGGACCGTTTCTTGCAAATCAAAATGATGCGGACATTTTGAAGAACGTCATTCAAGATCCAAATTGTTTGTGTAAATTATTAAGGTAAGGTGATACTTTTGTTCTTGATCGCGGTTTCCGAGATATAGTGGACGATTTAGAAAATAAAAAGTTTAAAGTTTTAATGCCTGCATTGAAAGGAAAACGAAAGCAATTATCAACAAAAGAGTCCAATCAGTCTCGATTTGTAACTAAAATTCGCTGGGCAGTTGAATCTGTTCATGGGGTGCTGAAACAAAAGTATCGTCTTCTAGACCACAAAATTGATAATAAGTTGATACCAAAAATTGGAATCTATTTTAGGATTGCGTCATTTCTGAATAATACTTATGGGAAAAGACTACAATCTGATATAGAAACCGCGGATGAAATTGTACAGAGGATGCATGACCAAAAAGATATAGAAAATACTTTGGCTACTGAAGCCGAAGAAAAAGGATGGTTTCGCCGA